TATCATATAAAGAAAAATTTAAGTTATATCTGGTGGTTAATAAAAACATAATTTGTTGACCCCCTAGCCTCTTTAAAAAATGAAGAAAGTAAAACCACGCGCCATAACACTTCATGGGCAGTCAACATGGTTCAAGTATTCAAGGACTGGAAATCTCAGCGAAACAGCAACTTGGTGAGTTTAAAATTATTCCCGAAATACTCACTAGTAAATACCAAGAACTTGCGTGCACTATAACATGTTTTATACACTATAATTGAAGCCAGGGGCGCATATGGGTTTCCCCTACCCCCGAGGACTTCATATAAAATGTGTTCCAATATTCAACGTTAAAACATTTCTGTGACGTCATCTTTTGTTAAACCCGGTACAATAAATTTCTTATTGTTCTGCACACCGTCCAATAAGTTACCTGTAGGTGTCCAATAAGTTGAAACTTATTGGACAGTAACGGTAAACTGCAAAAAAGAAGCAAAGAAACAAGGCTTGTAAACAAATTTAATTTTAATCCTGGAAAATAAACACCAAAATCACAAGAATTGTTTACGAGCTTTCAGAATTAAACTTCACATTAATTGTAACACTCGCATCCTTCTGAACATTCACAGAAATTGTTGGACATGGACACTGACATGACACTTTTTGAAGAATCCACATCTTTGGCTTTCTTGGTAGGTGGGCTGATGTTCCTGGTTTTCTCCCTTTTTTGTACGATATCACTTACACGCCTTTCTTGGCCCTCAGAGGTTCGCTTGTAATTTCGTACCGAAAGTGATTTGTGGCCTGTTTTCTCAGTTATCAGCTGTTCGTCTACGCCTGCTGAATAAAGACGTGTCGCTGCTGTCGCGCGCAGAGAATGGTTAGAGAAAAAGCCTTGAAATCCTGCAATCCTACACAACTTGGCAACGGTTTGTTGAAGTGGGTGGATACCGACGGCGCGTCGTCATACCATTTGTCTGTTGTGAAAAATTTAGACGGACGCAAATAAAAGGCGGATGACTTCCCGTCCTTGGGTCTGTAAAAAAAATATCTTGAATTCATTAAAATGTATACAGTGCGGATACAAATTGAAGTTTATGATTTTTGCTTCATTCTAGTTATACAGAATAATGTAGTAAAAACGTTGATATTTACCTGAGGTTAATAAACTTTTCGTACAGGGATACAATGCATCTCTCTGGACATTCCGGATTTTCATATGCGTTCACTACTTTTGGGACCGTTTTGAACTATTTAGCCCTCCAGCTGCACATTTGGATATGTCCTCTCTGTACTGCAGATATCGTCTTCCGTCAACAACAGACGTTTTCAAAAACAGTTGTGAGTTTTCTCCAACACGCAAATTGCGATGTTCTTGTCCAGCTCTCAATGCAAAATTAAGTCCAATCAAATAAACCATTGTATCAAGAAGTTGCTGTGGACTTTGAGAACCAAGAATTTCCTTCTCCCACATAATATTTTCTTGTTCCTCGGTGATAACAAGTGCCTGTTTTTTGTTTATTCCCAAACCAAGTTTAGACAGTTCCTTCATTTTCGCGTCAAGAATTGCACGAAGATCGGAAAACTCACTGTCATCTAAGAGAGAAATGAATTTTCCATTAGAACGTAGATGGTGTTGTATTGCCACAATTATTTCATAGAGGGAATTTGGTTTGTAATCATTGCCTTTCAATGTTTTCAGCTCTGTGACAAATGAAGTAAGCTGGTTATTTAGTTCTTTATTTGTCATTTGTAACAGTGGTTTCTCTATAGATCTTTCCTTCTGCCAAGACTCGAATAGACGCACGGCCCATTTAGCTTTATTTCTTGTGTTCACAGGTATTGCGCTTTCCTTGAGATTTTTCAGCTGTGATTCTGAAAGTGGGGCCAAAAATCTTGCTGTTTTCTGTTCCTTAAACTCCGCTTCTTTTATTTCGGCATTCTGTGAGGCCTCTACGAGAATTGCGTCCGAGTCGTCAAAATCCGATATATCCGAATAATTGGATACCTTAACAGTTTTAAAATTCAAATCAAAATTGCCATTTTTATCATTGTTTTCCTTCTCGCCGTTCAATATTTCGTCAAGAATATTGTCGGAATCACTTCGATTTGGTTCACGAAACGAATTCTGTGTTACAAATTCATAATCCATCCTTACTCATTGACAGGGCAAAAATGAATGAAATTTTTGACAATTGAAGAATTTCAGAATTAAGTTCACTATCTGCGCATGGGCAAAGGGGCTAGTGTTTATCGCAGTGCGACATTTCAAGGCCAGACTGATTTAATTATTTTGTTTTAATATTGTGTACAACATAGACAAATACCCCACAACGTTTACTTTTCGCACGACAAACAAAAAACCAACACACAATAGGCCAACTAATTGGAATGTGCTAGATAGGGGTATTGAAGCGTATGAATCATCCAAGCAGAACGAGACTTTACCTGTGACTGTCCAATAAGTTAACAATGGGAGTGTTCGACAGTGGTGAAATGTTTTAAGTAAGTTATAAGCCTCAAACTGACCATTATGTCAGATATTAGACTCTCCTCGGCGCTAACGCGCCTCGGGTCGTCTAATATCTGACATAATGGACAGTTTTCGGCTTATAACCATTACGTACATGAGAGCAAGGTGTTCATAATATGAACTTTTCAGAGGATGCCGGAAGGAAAATTCTACTATTGAATGTGCAAATTCCTATGGAGATAACTTTATCCGCTCCGCCAGACCGTGTCAATGTCTTTTTTGTAAAGATTTGTGCATTTTGATTTAAATTGTGTTATCTGTTCCAGAAGAGTCAGGAAATTATTAATATTTAAAGGTACTTGGATACAGATTTGAAGTTAATATTTTCTGTATAATATCAAAAAATATATATTTTAATGGCATTTCACACAAAAATTAATTGAAAATCTTATTTCATTTAAAAGTTATTAAAACTTAAAATTTTTTGGCGGGTTTGATTGACACATGCTTGCACTTTCACAAATTTTAACTTTATTCTTAATTCTCAGGAAAAGTGGCAATCTTGTTGTGTATTAATGAGAAATATTAAAACTTAAATCCAGAAAAATAATTTTATTTGTAGTAGAAATGTTAGAAAGCAAAACTCCTTCACTGGTATCGTCATTCCGTTGTGTACAAAGTTTTGCAAATCGAACACACTCGTGTTATGTACACAGTTTTTGTAAACAGGGCACGGCTCTGTTATTGTTTGGTGTTTACGATTCACCGGGTGCGTTCAATCACCTAAGTCTGTTCACCACAACTGCACGGACTAACGGTGTATTGTGTGTTTGTTTTGCTTTCGAACATGTTTTCTCTGAATTTTCTGGATTATAGTATTGATATTTTTCATTAATACACAACAACTTTGCACAGAAGTAGACTAGTACCTTTAAGACGTATCGATATCATTATCAGTTGTGTGAAAGATGATGTGTTTTAAGTATTTTTCTTGTTTTTGTTATTAGTTCATTAAAAAGATCTAGACATGAACTTTTGTCTCATTTGCATAGGTCCTCCTACATCCAGGGTCTAACGGTTTGATATCACTAGCTTTATATCACATATGTGATATTTATATATCACCACACTTATGTTGATATGAGAAATACACCCTTGTGAAGATCAAAGAAAAATCTGTCGGACATGGGATAACTTAGTATTGGACACATATTTGAAGTTAAAATTTTCTCTATAATATTACGACTTATATATTTTTATAGCATTTCACCAAAAATTAATCAAAATTTTTTTGTTTCATTTAAAACTTTAAATATATTGGCGGGTTTGATTGACACATCCTTGCACATGTTGCACTTTCACAAATTTTAACTTTATTCTTAATCCTTAGGAAAAGTGGCAATCTTGTTGTGTATTAATGAAAAAAGTCTACTTCTGTGCAAAGTTACATGTATATTGAAATCCGACCAAAACTGTAGGAGGAGTAGCATTTTGAAAAATTGTTTACAGACAGACAGACGACGGACGCATTACTATCGATTAAGCTCTTCTGGTCTCTGACCTGTAGAGCTAAAAATTAAGTTTTGAGACGAAATATGGATCCTTTTAATAAACAACCTTTTTATGTAATTGTAAGTTACTTAATGAATTTCAAATTACAACTGTTCGTAGCCTCATGATTAATTTCATTCAGTGACAGAATTTGATTAAGAGAAATTTTAAGAAAAAATCGAAACAATGTTAAAGAACTGTGCCATATTAATTAAAACCGGTAGGATTTATTAAATTATCATTATTACTACTAGTAATTAGCCGTAATTATGTCAAAAATTGTAGAAGTATCTTGATTACAGTGCCTGTTGATTCCGTTTTATTTAAATTCAGTGAGTAATAAACTAGTTGATAAGTTTTAGATCATTTCTTAATTAAGGTATGGTGTCTTATTTTATTTAATTCCAAATAAATGTTACCACCATCAAAACATTAAAAACTATAATAATCTGTCAATAAAACTGCATAAATAATGATTTTTGAATCATAAACTTTTGGTCAATAAAATGCATATACCATATACTTGAACTAGAAAAGTCAAACATATAATTTAAATTTGCTATTTCAGAAACTCACATGGGAGGTGTGTTACAGACATAATCAATAAATGTTATTCGGACTGTCTTGTTTTCAATTTAAGGGGAAATTACTAATTCACGTTATATAATTGCCTTCTTCAGAATACAGATTTACTCAGAATAAACTGAAAATAATCTAAACATCCTTTGGGAAAAAATCTTTTAAAAAAGAAAGATTTGGATAGAATTTAAAGAAAAAAGGCAACATGCTTTCAAAAAATATGATTGTGAAAGAAATTTAGAAAAAATTAAAACCAGTGGTAACAAGATGTGTTTGTGAAACACTTTGTCCCCGATGGTAACACAATTCTGGAGTGGGACGTAGACTGATGTGGTATACACTTGTAAGATGTTTTTTAGGGTTGCAAAGATGAAAAGTCAAAAATGTTTATACCAGTTGAAAGGTCTTGTCACAAGGAATATACATGTGAACGATGTTTGTTTGTATGTTGTTTAACGTCCCTCTCGAGAATTTTTCACTCATATGGAGACGCCACCACTCAACGGTGGAGAGATGCAAATTTTGTCCTTAACTTGGCACTTAGGGCCATTGAGCAGTGAGGGACTTTTTCGTGCCAGCACCTACTGCGACAAGGGAATTTGGGTTATACGGTATCATCCGAAGGACGGGTCTCCACGTCCCACAATGGGATTCGAACACGCGACGTAAGAATCGACTCCTTATTTCCCGACACTAGAGCAGACGCTCTACCACTGCGGCACACGGGCGATTATGAAGGATAAAAGCCCTAGCTCAAACTGTTCAAAAGTTATGGCCAGGATTGAAGTATGGTTATTTGGGTAAAAGTAGGTCAAACTCCAATTAAGGTCAAGACGTCAAATGTGGTGGTACCAAAAGAAAGGACTTGTCACAAGAAATACACCTGTGGAATATGAAAGCCATAGCCCCACCCACTCAATAGTAATACATGTATGCGCTAGCTATATGTCAAAGTTGACAACAAAAAAATGAACTCGTTCACCGCGAAGTGACTTTCAAAAAGTTTGGTATGAAAATGATTGTTGTAAATAAAAGAAAAACAGAACCAAGGCTTTACTGACCGATATTATCTGAAAATGTCAAACCGACCATATAAAGTGTTTAACAGTAATGCTGTTACAAATGAAGTTAATTTGGGAATAAGTTCCCCTTCTTTCTCTCTCTAATTTATACTTGTATATAGACATGGTATCTAAAACCATCATTGTATTCTACGAGACAATTAAGTCAATTACCTACTTACGTCTAATGTTAATTCAATATCCATGCAAATTAGATTGGTAAGATAATCATTTATTCTCCACATTGAAAATTAAATAACCGAAAAAGATACTTTATGTTTAATTTTCTTTGATTTATTATTTTCCTTAACTAATTGTGGGAAATGCACAGGTCAATGACTTGGGTTGAGTGTACAATCTCCAAGCACTGTGTTATAAT